ATTGAATTCTATTGAAATACTTTGCGTACAGATCGACAATTTTTGAGATACTTTTCACTTGTTCACACGATTCAAGTAAGAGATTTTATTTTCCTTGACTCTTTTTTGGGCAATTATGTAGATGATTTGTAAAATTCTCAACACACAAGTTTTCTTTTTTGAAACATATACGTTAGATAAACCGTCTTTTAATGTGAGATAATAACTATAAAGTTTTTATCAAAATGGTAAGTTTTGACATGACAAATCCAAAATGGAATTAACAGATAAGACTGTACTAGTTCACAACTTCCTGATACCTTTAATAACAGAACCGGTTAGTACTAAACCCAAATAACTTGAGTTTGAATTATTTTTTTATCTTTTTTCCAGTATGTTATTTGAGGAATCCAATAAATTTTTTATATGGTTTTCCTAATATCTCGTCTGAGTGAATTTTTAGTTTACAAGGTCTCTGAGCCGTAAGTTTGACCAAGACAAAATGAGTTTGAATCTTATATTTATTAGTTAAACGGATATGTAAATTGATTGGCATATAACACATGAAGCTAATAGGATTGCTTAATCACAACAAACACATACTATTACTCAAAATCAATTCAAAATAACACGACACGATACAGTAAAATTTAATCATCACCCTAATCTCTCTCTTAATGATAATGATTAAGGCTAGGCTAGCTACTTTTTCTTTGCTTTGTGGAATTGTCATGGTTTACAAAGTTCAAATTGGTTTCTCCATATTTCAAACCACTTTTAAGACCGACAAATCAGTCATTTTTTTATTAATGTTGGGCTGACAAATCAATCAAATTCAAACGTTATTCTTTGAAAGAATGTGAGAAAACAAAAATGAAGCCATCTTTCATTTTCAACTAAACATCATCAAGTTGCTGATAGATTTTCTTCTCTTGGAGCTCATGGACTTTTGTGGCTATGAGTAAATGGCAACACTATTGCTAGAGTTGTCTTGTTGGTTAGGTTGAAAAATTAGGTATTCTGTCAAACATCTACACGTGAGAGGACTTTGAATCAATGATAGAGCGATTACCATCCATTTGTAATACTAGTTTTATTCAAATTGGGTCGTCAAATAATCCAAATAGATCAAACTCAAATCGGGTCCATATCGGTTTTGGCTCATTCAAATTGTAAAATGAATCAAATTTGTTCTGTTTTTTAAGCTAGCAAATTAATCAAATTAGGTGTGATTTGGTTCAAATAGGCACACGACTTGAATGAGTTCCTATCCGTTATAGTTATAATTTTATTGTCAAAAATCTTTATCCGAAAAATGAATAATCCCAAACTTTCAAAACCCAATAAAATTTTCTCTCCCTCTTTTTCTAATTCATTCATGGAAAATTTAAACTTTTAGGGTTTGATTCCATATACAATTATATTGATTTTTAGAGATTTTTTGTTAAAAAGTTGATAGTTTGAAGATTGATCATTAATTTTTGAGTTTAGTTTTTTCCTAGTTTTTGCTAGAAAAAGTGCTTTAAGTTGCAAGTCGAGTTTGTCTCAAATGGTTACAAGTTTCTATCAAATTGAATTTTAGCAAGAATTCAAGCTCGGTTGTCGAGCTTGACGAATGACAATCTATTCAAGATGATTAGCTCCCCAACTCTCAATTCATTCGATATTTGATCACTCTTCACGTATCGGAGGAACTATTATAGATTAATTATAAGTGATTTAACATTGAAAACATCTAATAATGAAGTAAATCTAAATCCACATAAGGTGCTATAGCAATAAAATGGTCTTATGCTAACAACACTCAACCAAACTAGACCTCAAAACGTGCTCTTTTTGTAGCATTGCCACAGAATAGCACTTGATGTTATTTGCCACCAACTATGAAAATTTAAAAAAAAAAAAAAACCACCTTGTATATTTTGTCAAATCAGCAAAATGACTAACAGAAAACAATTGCCATGTGAAAAAAAAAAGAATAAATGGAATTTGAAACAAAAATAAAAGAGGCATAATTGAGAATAAACAAGAAGTGTTTATAGATAAAGCGATGCGCTGTGCTTTTAAATTCGGGAATCAATCTCTCTAAATTAGGAGATTTTTACATAATTTTTTTCAACGAAAATGAAAACATGTCAAATATTACTTATATTTAGTACAACGTTGGGTCGGTGTGATACAATTGCTATGGGGCACTATGGGGTACTCTGATATGAAAGCTGTAAAGTTGAAATTTGGAAGCATGGTGGGTTGGACCGAGGAGCTTTAAGAAAGAAAGAGACAAGGATTAGACTTTTATGATGCCAAGAAGCATTCTGGGTACCCCAAGAGGAGAGATAAGAAGATACTTTTCACACCATTTTCATACACGGTACTCAAATTCCATTTCGGGTCTACTGAGAAAAATCCTTCTGACTTCCTTTTGATTTTTATTTGATCATGTTTTCACCATTCAATTTTTCCTTGTGTTCAAAGCATTAGTCTAAACTAAGTAACTGCTAAATTAGGTCATGCTAAACACGACACAAATAATTAATTGCAGTACGGGTAAAGCATTGGAGAGCCTAATGAATTTTTTTTTTTAATAGCGTTTACATGGAGAGGAGGCAAGGGTGAGGTTCAAACCCGCCACCCTTAGGTCCAACGGCGGGTAGTTAGTCATTAAGCCACCACTGAATCCTAAGATGTATGCAATTTACTTATAAATATACATTTTTGTTAAATTGTTAATCGCCAATTAACTCCTTGTATGCCTTTAAGATTGACAAATTTGAATATTTAAAATTCTCTTGCACTTTACTTTGAAATTTCTATGATAACTAACTTGCAAATGAAGGAATCCAACCCACCCAGCCATATAGTGAGACAATGCTTTGTTGATCAGGTGAATTAAAACAATGCTTAATACGTCAAAAAGCTTCAAGTTGAATACATTAGAGCAATAAAAAAGATGAAACTCCCGCTAGATGAAATGTAAACTAGATATTCTTTTATTTAAGATGACCAAGCTAGATATCAGTATTAGTCGAGATGTACATAAGTTGACTCGAACACTCTTAACTATAATATTAAAAAATTATACAAAGAAGACATACTGAATTGATAAGAATGTAAGAAACATGACCCAATCTGTCATGACTATTACTCATTTTGGCAATAAAAAGATTTATTTGTATCCTTACGAATCGAACAATGTTATGTTATTCCCTCTACTTCCATTGGTTCTATTTATTTTGTTTGTTGGATTCTTAAGAATTCTTTTCAATCAAAAAGGAGTGGATTTAGATATATTATCCAAATGGCGCTTAAAATGATTGGATTGAACACTAAGTTTCAATTGTGCTCAAGTCGACAAGAGTTTTATAGAATCGAGAGTTTTGCAATTTTTTGACATTGTCACTACAATCAATCATGATTAACGCCACGATCAAACGCTCCTAATGTAGCTTGTACTCCTCCCACTGAAAGTAATTTTTTTTTTTTCAAAAATAAATTCGAGGTACTAGCCAGCCACTGATTTTTGTGTCAATTTATTTGTCATCAACGATCTTAAAAAAAATCAAATAAGTGAAATAAAGGTAATTATTTTCCTTCAAACAGAAAAATAAGAGGCATGATCGAGAATAAACGATAAGTATTCATAGGTAAAGAGTTACGTTGACACGTTGTGCATTTGAATTTGGAAATCAATCTCTTTAAGTTAAGAGACTTGTACCTCTTTAGAAATTTGAGTCTTATTTGCAATCCATAATTTTTTTCAACAAAAAGAAAAACCTGTTAAATACGACTTATACCTTGTGCAACTTTTCGTTGGTGTGGTACAATTGTATTGAGGCATTTGATATGAAAGCTGTAAAGTTCAAATTTGGAAGCATGGTGGGTTGGACCGATGAGCTTTTAAGAAAGAAAGAGACAAGAGACAAGCGTTAGTATGATGCCATTAAGCATTCTTCTGGGTACCCCAAGAGGAGAGGAGAGAGAAAAAAAAACGATACTTTTCACACCATTGGGCATAGAAAAGAGAACTAAAGATATGAGAGCCCTTTTCTTCTTTCTGGATTTTGTGTCTGGCCTGTTGTACGTCTGTAAGGCTTGATCCGTGGGCTGCTGGCCTAGTGTTAGCATTTGAAAGGCCCAGACCTGTCCACAAGAAAATGGCCAACCAGAGGTACAGGTACAAAAGGGTAAGGCTATGGCGTGGGAGATCAAGTAGCTCCTTATGTTAGATGCCTAGGTCTAATTCTGAGAATATTTTAAGACAGACCAGAAACCTAGGTATTGACAAGCCACTTTAATGGCTGGAAATTGAGTAATGCATCGAGAAATGATTAAAAGTTAATTCAAATAAAACACATAGAAAGTTCTGGTAAACTTAAATGAAGGAACCCATGCTTCATAGATGAATCAAACTAGCAAAGAGGAGGTTTTGTTGAGTTGCTGAGATGAATGAAAACTATTGTGAAGACAAAGTCCAAAACTAGGTCGAATGTACTTGTTCATATTCCAAACTCATGTAAAAGCCTAAATCTATAGGTATTGATGAGTTACTTCATATTGCTCATTCCCCATCTCCCATAAAAAACAATGCTTATAATACGGAAAAGCTTTTAGTATGATGACAATCCCAGTAACTGGAATATAAACTAAACATTCTTTCAAACATCAACTTTGTGAGAATTCATACATTCAAAAGGGTAGTACATCAAAACCCAGGTTTGATTCTGTGCATGTTCATAAAAAAAAAAAAAACATCCACTCGCCTCTACCATCAACACTTTTTCATTAGGAAATTCTAATTTGGCATGTCTTTGAACCCCTAGGAAATTTCAGTATTTTCTCAAGTACTTTCACATCTTTGCCAGCTAAAGTACGTGAAAGACAAATTGTCATCTTACCCATTACTTCGGAGTTCTTCAGCAAATACTTTACCAACTGCAGCTCAACATTCTTTCCCTCAAATGCACCGAATTTAATTTCTCTCAAGTGTGATACCAAACAACTAGGCACTACACTAGGCTGCTTCAGATTGTACATCTTATCCAATCATCATCTTCATCACTCGAATCATAATCTCCAACTGTGAATGATAAGCTCTAGATCAAAAAAAAAAAAGAAAAGCTTAAAATGCTGCAGATTAAGAACAACTTTTTTTTGAATACTTTTACTGCAGATAGTGTTCTCTACTAGACTCACCGCATACAAAGATTCAAGAATAGGCATGCTTTGAAGTATCCCAAACAGATCTGAATGATCATACAAGCAGACCTCCCTCAACTTTTTCAACTCTAAATACGTCACATTGGAAAATGTAAAACGAGCATGATCATTAACTTGAGCCAAAAACTGCATAAAGTAATTCAAATAATAGTCAAGTAACAAATACACGCATACACAAATAGACAATACATATAATTTGTACTGTAAACTTACCCTCATAGTTTGATCAAATAACACCAGATGCTTTACATCAGAAAGTTCTTTCAAAAGAACAAGTACACGGTTAGATGTATCATCATCTACGTAGTAATAGTCCAGCTCAACATTAATTTCTACTCTCACCAAAGAGGAGGATTGATTCTTTATCAAATACCAAGGGCCACACTGAGTGTCAATAATAAGGTGTTCAAGATTTGGTGCATTTATCAAAACCTTAATATTGTGTCCAAAGGGAAAATCATCAAACTCATCCGCGTATATAATCTTCAACTTTCTCAACTTGGGGGCACTGATATCAATTAATGGTTCAGTACCCTCAATTACGAAAACATCTATGATCAAACTCTCAAGCATAGGGAATCCACAAAAAAAACTCTGATTTATGCTCTCCCTTGGGTTGATAACAGAAAATTGGAGAACTTTGAGATTCGGAAAATAAACATAGCTAGGAAATCTTACATAAAACTTCTGTTCAAGGTGTAATTCTACAAGTGACTTGCAAGTAACGAGGACTTTAGGCCACTTAAACTGCTGCACATCCATACGAAAATCGATTTTGAGCTGTTCAACATTATGTTTAACTAAAGAACATAACCATGAATTGAAACGGTAGCAATTAAGACACCTAGACCATTCCGTACAAGTGAGACTGAACTTTTGAATTTTTGGCGAATCGTGAAGGAGGAGAATTCTATCGACAAAATTCATGATTTTATCTAAACGAATTTGTGATTTCACATCAGATTCTGTGAGCGAGAAAATGAGATTGGGAACAGACACCCAAAGATCCTCCCATCTTTTGGACACGACACTGGTTCTCATGACGTATTTCATCTCCAGGAAGGAGAGAATGTGAAGAAGAATGGAGTCAGGTAAATTGTTGATGCTCCTTCCTTCTTTCTCATCTCCCACCATCATCCTTCCATCTGTTTTCCTTTCCATTTTCGTTATGTTTATCGGAAAACAAACAGGAGAATTATTATATAAGAACAATGTGAAGAAGTAGAGCTTTGTGTTCTGACTAGAGAGCCGGATGATTATATAGCTATCATAATGTGTCTTTTGGGTTGTCCACTTTTAATGATGTTTCGAGTGAAATTATGATTTTCCGAGAAAAAAACCTAATAATCCAGTAACTTATTACGTTGGTATTATCCAACTGCTTCGATATTTACCCAAAAAACTGCTTCGAAAGTCTAACAGACATTTGACTTCTCCGGTTTACCAAGCAGGCTCTTACTGTTTGAACCCAAAACGATAACCCTTCTTCTTCCAGCAGCATCACAACCATAATCAACTTCATCACTTAATCCAATATGTTCATTTATGCCACCCCGCGTAAATTTAACTCGATTATGGATTTTTTTGATTGGCGCTAGTCTACCTATTTGGTTATGAAAAAGAAATATAACCTTTCAAAAAGGATCGTTTTTTAGACTTGATTTTGATTTGAGATGGCATATTATGTATGGCACGGCATCTTGAACGAGATAAAACCAAAAAAACATAACTCCATTCAATTTTCTGACAAGAACTCCAGTTTTATAACCTTGTCCGAAAAAGGATTGCAAGAAATCCTAGCAAACTAAAATAATCTGCCAAGAAGTTTCACCTCAAAGACAGAGTCTTTTTTGGACATAGAAGAATTTACATTTACTCTCCTATAATTTGTTCAAGGATGGAAAATAAAGCATTCTCTTTTATTGGGAAGAAATTTTCTACTCTGAGGTGAAAAAAAAAATGTCCCGAGTACTTCAAATGGCAGCAACATCCAAACACTAGAGGACTCCTCTTTCACAACATTCATAATGATAGCATTACAAAGTGTTTTGGTGAGGTAACAAGAAGAGGAGCTTGCATGATCAAGGTCAATTCAGGCTTTGAGTCGAAGGTTATGGTGCGGGAGAGGAGCTCCATATGACTAGATGCTTAGGTCTAATCTCTTAGAATGGTTTACTAACACTAGAAACCTTATAGCAGTTCTGCCCCTCAACAGCGAGTTCTTGAATTGCAATGTCAGTGTCATGGGATCAATGATTCTGCTTTTGTTGAATTGCAATCTCGCTTTTGTTAAAAAACGGGATCAATGATTCTGCTTTTAAATAGAAAACGTGATCCAAAATAATGAGGCGAAACACGTTAAAAGCGTGATTACTAACCACTCTTTTAACGTGTTTTAACTGCCATGAAGGTTATGCACTTGTTGGTGTTTTCTGGGTAAACCTTATGCACTTCCAGACCAATAACTCCAAGTCATCTCCATCCGGCTTCAGCTTGTGATTTTGCTGTTTCTAAGACTGCGTGATCTCCGACGACGAATCGTCTTCCTCCTCTGCGGCCACCTTCTCCAACAAGTCCCGATCCCCTTTTTCCTCTCTCTTCCACTTCGTCTTCTCAGGCATCTTCAAGCCCCTCCAACCCCTCACCCAATTCCTGGGTCCAAAAAGATCAGTAGGCCCAGCTTCATCTCTATCTTCCCTCTCCATTGACGACGATGATCTTCCAACTCAAGTTCTCAAGAATTTCAATGAAATTTGTCTCCTCCGAATTGAACTACCCAGTGGGGAACTTGGAATGGACCAAGGTGTTCTGTTAAAATGGAGGGCTGATTTCGGTTCTACCCTCGATAATTGCATGATTCTCAGTGCTTCCTCTATGATTCACCCCGGACCCAGTAAGATTTTACTCTCTAAAGAAACATATAGAGATGATTTCCGCATGAACAATGGGGAAAGACGTGTTTAATAACCACGCTTTTCACAAAAAAACGTGTTTTGTAAACATGCTTTTCACAAAAAAACTAAAAAAAAATTTCCATAAAAGCGGGGTTGTTGAATCATCTTTTTACCAAAAACAAAGTTATTGAATCCGCTTTTAAAAAGTGTCATAGTTTGGTAAATAAATTCAAAAGTACCGTATTTTAGTATTAAAGTTCCAAAAGAACCCTGTTTTGGTAATAGATTATTTTGTTTCATCCGTTTGCACGTCACTTCGCTGAAATTTTAAAACAGCACATAATCTCTCAGTAGGTCCAAGAGTGTAGGATGCTCGAGTGATATATGTGATACTCTCCTTGTATAAATAGGGCTTATAATCTATAAACGTCTCCTAACAAATTGAAGTTTCTTTCTTGTATTAAGTGAGATAGTTTGGTGAAAATGGCACCCTTCTCGTAATAGGTAAAAAAATTTGGTGGAGGTGTTGATGTGCACGTCCCAAGCAGATCTCTTTGTCTATCCGTTATAGAGTAATTATGTCACCATGAGACAGTTGACCTAACTTTTCTCTCAAGATGGTGTGGTTGACCTAACTTCCTTCTTTCTATAGTGGACTTGACCTGCATTCCTGTGATTCTATGCCTGATTTATAATTTTGGTTCTGGTCTAGGTCGGGCCCATCAACTGCAATGACGGGTGTAGTTCCTCTGCTGTTGGCGGTCTAACAGCACAGCGTGCTGTTAAGAGGAACGACACCGTTTTGGCCAAAATGCACTTTCCCACAAACAATCCCACAACGATGTCGTTTAACTCGAAAACTTTTAAACCCACAACGACGTCGTTTGCCACCATATCTTAAGCTACATCCACAGTTCCTTCATCAACGTTGCCCACCATGTCTTCTTGAAGTAACATGGACAGCCCTCCATCAACGTAAATCACTTCCGCCCAAACCACGAAGAATTCGTCTGCTCGAAGTTTGTAACTACCAACTGATCTTGATGTTATTTCAATTTTTTTTCAATCACTTCAGCCCTTAATGTTGATGTAAATCACTTCAGCCCTCTCCTACTAATCTTGATGTTATTTCAATTTTTTTTTTTTAATTTCAGATTTCTTGGTTCACAAATTTCAGATTTTTTTTTTAATTTCCTATTAGAATGTTGATATAATTTTGTGACTGTCATTGGTACAATCTTGATAAGAACTTGTAGCCGATTCTTGATGTTAGGGCTTTTGTGATTTCGACAGATTTGGGGGAAAATTTTCAGCAAAGTTTGCCCAAATCGAAGCCCCAAAATCTTGGTTGTTGTTAGCTTGTGTACTTTATTAAGTTTTTATTTTAGTCTGCTTTAGTTAGTATTTGCTGCTATCTTTTGTTTGATGAGGAAATGAAGTAATAGGAATTTTTATTTTTTTTTAAAAAGGAACTTTATGCAATTTTGGAGGAATTGTGGGCTGCTCTTCTTTTTCTTTTTGTATTGGTTTTAATTTTTAGGTGTTTCACTTGTTTTTAATATGAGTTTGTCTGTTGTAAAAATTTGGGAAAAGAGAATAAACATAGAATGTCATTCGACTAAATTAAGATTGTGGTTGTTTGAATTGTTCTTGATGATCTGTTACATTGCTGGGAAAATGATGAAGAAGAGTATGAAATGGGTTTTTTCTTATGTTTTTGATTAGTTGGATGTGAGAAAATAAAGAACTCAACTTTCTGTGAGTCTCTGATCAAATTGCCATTCTATTGCTAACTTTGTGTTCTAAAATTTCATGGTACTCACATTTGGTTTCATTTGTTTTATTGTCTATTATACAGTTTAAGTTTGCATATAAATGATGAATTGTTTTGTCTTTTTTGTTGTTGTATTGGTTGCGATGTCTTAGCTTAGTTCTAGTGGCTATGGTATAGGAATGATGTGTAATGTTGATGAGTCATGAATTCTTGGTGCTTGATTTGCTGGTTTCTGGAGTAAGGCTAGTGCATACTTGGGAATTTATATTCAGTCTAGAACTCTACTTCTTTTTGCATTTGGTATACTGCCAATAGTTGGGAGTATGTTATTGCATAGGGATCAACAATTGCTGCCTACTGTAAGGATCAAAAGGGTTGTTCACAGGGGGATGTTGCCTTGTTAATAATCTGTTTCTGGACAGAATTGGAGGCATGTTGTGGTTTTGTAGTCTTTGGCTGACTAACTATGCAGTCAGATCAGAAAATCTGTTTTCTTGGTTGTAATAGTTTTTTTTCCTGAACTCTACTTGGGCTGTGCAGCAAGAGTCTTCTTTTGATTGTTCCAGTCTGATAAACATTCTTGATCAGGCAAGGAGGCTACAGCAACAAGATCAGCAGGATACCAAAGCTTTAAGGAAGAAGACTGTCATTTGTTAATTCTTGTTTTTTCTTGCATTTCTGGATAAGGACAGAGCAAGGTTTGTCTGCTTGTCTTATTGATGTAATTCTTTTTCTATGAAATAAAGTGTATTGGTTGGTTGAAAATGATGTATTGGTGCATGGTACATAACAAAAATTTATTTTTCCAAGATAACAACTACACATTGAACACCATGAATCATACATAGGTGAGATCAATTCCATTAAAAAACAAAAATGAGATCATGTACATAGGTGTTTCCAAAGGGATGACATATCTTCTAAAACAAGAAAATAGAAGATCCATCATCCTCATAGCAAAAGAAGATCCACCATCCACATTTCAAAAGGATCAAAAAGAAATTGTCAAGGTTGAACAGAAATTTGAAGCACCATCCAGCATTACAGAAGCATTGCAGCAACACCAAAGATGATGGATTCATTGTCCACCTCCACCTCGATTCTCCTCATTAGAATAATCAACGACGTTGTCCAAGAAATATGATTCAACATTTACCTGAGCATTTTGTGAACCAATTGATGCTTGAAAAGACATGCTTGCAATTGGATTTGAGTGACTATAAGTTGATGCCCATGAGTAGGCAAATCTATTCATATGTGAATTTTGCTCATCCAATTGAAATACCTTCTAAACAAGTATTGAAAGACGTAAGATACAATTAAAAAAAATAAGAATCCAAAATATCATTGCCATAATGTTGGGGTTGTAATACCTTAGACCTATAAAAAGTTCCAGTTTTCCTTTTCGTTAGCTTCTCATGCCAAGGCTTCAATCGATCTCAACCCTTGTAACCACCATCTTTCCTCTTCAAGTCAGCTACTCGTAGAATGTTAGAGTCAACATTTTTTACTCCTTTAGAGAGAGAGATTTTCTACTCCTTCATCACCATCATTGTCCTCCTCAGTACCAAGTGATGCATACATCAAATCCACTTATTTGAACAACTCATCAATACCGCGGTTCACCAACTGGTGTGCAACCTTAAGGTTAGAACAACGAGCGGCTAAACGTATCATTCTAAGACATAACTGTCTGTAATGTGACGCTGCCATCAACTTGGGATCCTCCTCATTTAGTGTGGCACTAGAATAAGGACTTAACCACTTTCTTGCATATCGCCTCCATCTCTGTATTATGTATTAGTCAGGAATTTGCTTAATATTCATCGTGCCTAGCACTTTAAGTGCATGACCACATAATATCTCAATCATTTCAAATTTTTGACAAATGCAAAAAACGGTTTGCTCATTAACATTGATCAACAGCATGTACTTTCTCTCTTCATCATACAATTCCACCACAAATTCATGACATCCATCGAACACATTTGAAGGATTCACAATAACACACTGGAATACATCATATTCATCTTGAAATAAATTAGAAACAGAAGGAGTGTAACATTGTGTTACTTGCACCAACATAGGAGCTCTTTTCAACTTCATTCTAGGCAACTTTTGCCTAGCTTGATATTCCTTCTCTGCCCCCTTATATCTCTTATCATTTAAAACTCTGTCAAAATGAGTAAAAAAAATGAACAATATCATGGTCTGACTTTAAGTACTTTCGTAATACTGAGTTCAAGCTCTCACTTAACTGAGTGTTCCTCATACCAGCTGTGAAAGTCCGCTTCATATACACATGTGCTCATTTCTCTCTTAGTGCCCAAGTAGAATTCATCCAATTGTTATCGTGCAAATCATACTCATCAAGCAACAATTTTCAAGCATCAACTAACTCATACTCTTCCTCGTATCCATACATACACTCTTTAAATTGGGCTAAAAATTTTGAACCATCTTTATATATGTTCCCTAAATGGTTTAAAGCATTTTAGGAAAGGTGTCAACAGTATAACTCATGATATGTCTCTGGCATCACTATAGATATAGTTTTAGTCATTGCTTGATCTTGGTCAGTGAAAATGATAACAGACTTCTTTCTAGACATTGCTTGTAGGAATGTTTCAAACAACCACTGAAATGATGCTGCAGTTTCATCGTACAATAATGTCGCACCAAATATCACTGTCTCCCTAAACTAGTTGAATCCAATCAAAATGCCTATGGGTCAATACTCCTTGTGTTGTTCGGAATGTTGTGTCAATTGTGATAACATCCCCAAAGTGGTCATAATCAATAATCGTCCACATCCAATTGAACTCTATAATAAAAGGATGGATTCTTAGCTGCTTCTGCAAACTACCCGTTTTACCGTATTTCAAGTCTCACCGCCTCCTTTCTCGAATGTAATTTGTTTGGTCTTGATGGGTGAACCCTAAGTTTTCTCTCCCACTTGTTTGGTACTCAAAAGCTCGTAGGACGCCTTAAGTGATATTCCACAATCCTCAGCAATATCAACATTGATGCATTGAACTATAGTAACCTTTTGTTGGAATGACATCATATGTATACATTCGGTCAAGCACAAAATGTGATGTGTTGGTCTTCTCATTTAACAACAACAAATTTTTCAATATCTCTCTTGAAGGATATGCACATGTGAGCGGGGCAATTTGTTCGAGTCTCTGTCCGAACCTTTGTTGTTTTTTAATCCCTTTGATCTTTGCTCATTTGTCCTTGTTTACAACATACGTATTTTCTATAAATTAATACACTATCCTTCAAGCTTTTGT